CTGCAAGTCTGGTCACACTCCTCCATGCCTGGGCACCCTCACGGCCTCCCCACTGCCCTCATACGAAGACCAGGCCCCTCAGCGCAGCATTCAGAGCACCCCCAAAGCCAGGTTCCGGGCCCTGCTTCAGCTCGGATCACAGCCCTCCACTCACTCAGAGCTCTGGGACACTGACCTCTCATTGTACTAAGCCCTCCAGCCTTCACACAGGATGTTCCCTCAGCCTGAAATGTTCTTCCCGTCCCACTCCCTACATGCTGAGCCCATTACAGGAGCGGTCCTAGCCCCCAGACAGCAATGCTCTCCCTGCCCGCAGCCTTCTGTCTCCAGTGCCCTCGGGAGAGAGGGAATAAGCAGCCCCCAGACCGCTCTCTGCAATGGGAAAAAAAGGAACGGGCTCTGTGGACAGCCATCCTGGTAGGGGGAAGTCAGCAGCCATGGAACAAACTCCAGTTTGAGTCACAAAGAGTCTTTTCATCTATAAAGGTCAGATACAGATGCTGACCTCAGCCTGGAAGTCCAAAATGAAAGAAAATCCTGGGTCTCCTAGCTCGCACCAGCTCTGACCTGCTTACAATGATCTAAACTCTGCCCTCTTTGCCACAGGGCAGCTCTGCCCAGGGAGGGGGCAGGCATGTTGTTCATTTAAAACACCACTTCGCTAAGTCACCAGCCATAAAGCCCACCTGGGTTTCTAGCAGCACATACCAGTCATCTGATTAATGACACATACATAAAAATCCATCCCTAGGAGCCAAAGGTTGAAATGAAACAGGAGGGCTAATTGCTAATATAGGAATTAACATCGGAGAGCTCTGATCTTTAAGGCAGCTATGAACTGTAAAGCTGAGGGCTTGAGGATCGTTTCTACTTCGGGAGGAAGCCCTGAGGGCCAAGGGTGAGCAGTGGCTCTGGAAGATAGGCAGGTGGTCAAGGGAAAACCCAGCCATACCTGCCCCCCTCTGGATGGCCACTGAGCTCACATGTGATTGTCATGACATGGGAGTACCCCAGAACCACAGCACAGCATCATCTTCTTCAAAGCTCTTGGCTCCCACACTGCCCTGTGTGCGCCTCAGATTGTAGCCCTCTGAAAACCAGTGCCCTCCCCACTGGACTGTGAGCTCCTGGAGGATGGGGGCATCTCTTTGGATCCCCAATGTCTTGTACAATGCCTGGAGCATGATTAGATTCAGAATATGTTTGCTGGATGGAGAGATGGGTAGATGGAAAGATGGAGAAATGGATAGATGGAGAGGGAGAGATGGATGGATGAATGGACAGATGGAGAGATAGATAGAGAAATGGATGGATGGATGAAAAGATGGAGAGATGGATGGATGGATAGAGGTGAATAGATGGATTGATGGAGAGATGGAGGGATGGAAGGATGAATACAGAGACGGAAGGATGGAGAGATGGGAGGATGGATGGAGAGATGAATGGATAGATTGGAGGGATGGATGGATGAAGAGATGGAAGGATGAATGGAGAGACAGATGGAAGGATGGATGGAGAGATGAATGGATGGGTTGACAGATGGAGAGATGGATCGGTGAATGGAGAAATGAGAAGGAAGGATGGATGGATGGAGAGATGAATGGATAGATGGATGGATGGATGGATGGATGAATAGAGAAATGGTGAGATGGAGGGACTGAGAGATGGTGGGATTGAGGAATGGAGGGAGAGATGGAAGGATGGAGGGATGTATGGATGGAGGGGTACACAAGAGAGCCTCAGGAGAAGCCCAGGGCCCCTCAGTGCAGTGTTTGGTGGAGGGTCTGTTTCTCTTGCGCTGTCTAGGAGTAGTGTAGCCAGAAGGAAATTGGCCTGGAGTTTGAGGCCCTGACTCTGCTTCAGGTTGTATAACCCTGGACAAGTCCCACTCCCTCTTCTTAGTCCACACAATGGAGGTGGTCCTCCCTGACCTGCTAGCCATGCTGTCTTCCCAAGCTCAGGGAAGATGGCAAGGCAGAAATTACTGGGAAGGGACAAGGTGCATTGTCCCCTGGCATATACGTATGGGCAGATTCGGCCAAAATGCAGAGGGTAATGCAGAGATGTGAGACTGGGGACTTGGCGTTCTCTCCCTCCTTTCAAATTTCTTTTAATACAGTGGTGATGTTATTGATGATAACAAAAGTAGAATGGTGTAAGCATCTCAAAGTACTTTTACTCAAAATGGAAGCTTTTATGATGTTGACTCAAAAAATGGTTTACTGGTTTTGAGCACGGAGACCAGACCTGGAGCCTGTGGGAACAGGGGAGGCCAAGGGGATGAGTGTAACCACTAACTTCACACGGCGTGGTCTCCACTCACTCGAGCCAGGAGGGTGGCCACTGGGGGCGCTGTGGCTCTGGCAGGAGGTGTCTGCCAGGCGCACGCATTTACATATTTATTCTTGGGCCTCCTTTGGTTCAGTGAATGCAGGTGGCTACTAATGATCATCATTATGCACCCACACAAGGGAAGAGCCACAGTGCTGCTGGAGAGCTCACACCTCCCAACCACTGCCAGCCAGACTCACTTGGAAAACCAATACACACCCCAGAAGCCTGAGAGGCCCCACTCATCAAGGGCACAGACGCCGAGGAGCCCAGTATCCCAGCACTGGGGTTCCAGGAGGCTTTGCAGGCCCCAGGGAAGGTGGGGGTGGGGGCTGCAGCAGGGAAGGTGGACTGAGGACATACAAAGCTGGATGGGCACCAAGAGCCTCACTTAGTGCCTTGGTTTTCTAAATGAGGAAGCAGATGGGAAGTTCGCTGAGTGCATTTATTAAGCACCAACTGTGTGCAAGGCACTGAGCCAGACGCTGGGGGATCCAGCCTCAGGTCCTCCCTTGAAGCCAGGGAGACAATTCTTTTCATGCTATGTCATTGCTGTCATGGTTCACAGGACCACACAAGCCAAGGGGAGGGTGGCCCATTGCAGGAAGGGAGGGATGACGTCTGCATGGATTCTTACAGAAGGGGAACAGTACAGTGAAGGGCCAGGCTGGAGCCAGCTCAGGGCGTTAGTGGGCAGTCGTGGCAGACACGGCAGGTGGGCTGGGCAGGGCCCTTGGAGACTACCGTAGCAGCATTGCCTCTATCCTGACAGCTATGGGACACTCTCAGGATAAAGCTGAGAAGCTATGGGAAGGGTCTGAGGCGAACACACCAGTGGGATGAACTTGCCTCCTTTTTGGGTTCTTAATTTCAAAAGCAGAGCTCAGTGGTTTCTCTCTTTATCAGGAGGCAGCGGCCACGGCTGGCTGGAGCCTCTAGGCTCCCAGGACACGGCCGTCATCCTCTCAAAATGCCGAAGCCTGCTGCCCCTGCCCCACCCCCATTGGTATAAAACAATTTCTGCGCCCCGGCCAGGGAGGCAGATGACCTCATTGGACTTTCTCCATCTCTCGCTTTCATGGAGAAATTACAATTTATAATTGGATGAAATCACGCGGGTGGTAATAGCAGTAAGGGCTTGTGCTGGAGCCGGCCGCCTTCCCCCCCGCACGCAGGGACTCTGTCCTCATCTTCCCCCCTGCGTAAGCCCCACCGCACCCCTTCCAGGGCCTGTGCCCCACCTGTAGTATTCACCAGGGACTGGCCATTCAGAATCGATGTCCCATGGGGCTTGCTGGCTCTGAAACCTCCTTTCTCCTAGGGCAGCTTGTCCCAAGAAAACTGCCCCCGCCACTCTGTCCACCCCATCAGACTCAGCCTGCACACCACCTGGCTGGCACACGCCCTTCCCGAATGCCTTCCCTGCCAGGCTGTGAGTCCCGTGGGCAGCCACCCCCTATCTGGGTGCTGGGCTTATTAAAACATGAACCCCAATATCCCTGTTTTTATTTGTAACAGCCTCCAACAAGCATTTCTCAAATCAGCCACCTTAGGCCCTACAAAGACAAGTGTCCAGATGCAGCTGAGCCCATCTGGATCTGATTTCAAACCAGAGCGAGCACTCTCAGATGTGTAATAAAAGCCCTTTTCCAAAGAGGGGCTCCTGCAGGGGGAATACGGACACCAGGGCACCACGGCCTTTCCACATGCCACACTAATGAGAGGTGCTGGGGAGGGCTCGGGCTTTTGTTTTGGATTCTGGAACAGCCTGCCCTGCCCTCCGTCTGTGCGGAAGGGGAGGGCGGTTGCCGGTGTTGAGGACTGACCCCCCACCTAGGAAGTGGGGTGGGCACCGGACAGAGGCCAGGAACATGGAGACCCAACTTCCCCAGTTCCCTGACGGTTCTGCTTCCCATGGTGGGGAAAGGCAGTGCTTGTTCTGGAAGCCCAGGCCATGGCGGTCCAGTTGGAGCTTTTGAATGACATTTAGCAAGAAGAGCAGGTGCTGGGGGAATTGGAGCCAGCTCTGGGCTGGGCGGGTGGCCCTGCAAGGCCAGGAGCTCAAAAAACTTCATTTTTCTCTTCCCAGTCCTTCCACCCCCAGGGAGGGAAAACCAGGTAGCTGCAAGGCTGGGCACTATGCATAGCCAACTGTTGTCAGGATTTGGAAAGAGGCAGGAGATGGGGAGAATAACCCCAGGCCCTTCCCCGGCTCATGGGCAAGTGGCATTTAAAACAAAAAACAAAAAACAAAAAAAAAACCGTATCCAGGCTGGGTGCGGTGGTTCATGCCTGTAATCCCATCACTTTGGGAGGCCAAGGCAGGCAGATCATGAGGTCAGGAGATCAAGATCATCCTGGCCAACATGGTGAAACCTCACCTCTTCTAAAATACAAAAAAAAAATTAGCCAGGTGTGGTGCCTTGCACCTGTAGTCCCAGCTACTCAGGAGGCTGAGGCAGGGGAATCGCCTGAACCCGGGAGGCAGAGGTTACAGTGAGCCGAGATCGCGCCACTAGCCTGGCGACAAAGTGAGACTCCATCTCAAAAAAGCAAAAAAAAAACAGGATCCAAAGCAAAGGGGGCTGCAGCCCAGTGGCCCTGATGGATGCTGTCCCAATGCGGTCCCTCATGTCTCTGGGCTTAATCACTGGTATTGTTTTTGGCAGGTAAGGAAGCAGGCAGTGGGCGAGAAGATGGATTCCTTTTTGGAAAGACAAGACCAGGGGGTGAAGCGGGAATAACCCATCCTCCCTACCTTCCCAGCAAGGAAACCTCTACAAACAGGAGCAGCCAAGCGGGACTGAGGCCCTCGCCCCCCAAGCATCTTCCCAAAGAAGGGCATGTGGGGGCCTGACAGCTCAGCTGTACGTGTCAGCAGCTCCAGCCCCACCGTGAACATCTGAACTCCTCAGCGGGGTAATGGACCCCTCCTTCCCCCTGGAGACGCAGCCTGAGTGACAGGAATACGGAGCCTTTGGAGAGTGGCTCCCTCTCAGCTCTGTCATGCAAGAACGCTCTCTGCACCCAGCCCATTCTGCCAAGTGACTTAAAGGGATTTAAAAAAAAAGCCTTGGTAAACCAAAAGGGGGTAAAAGCCAAAAGCCACGCAGAGGCCTTTCAGAAGAGGTGGCGGCCTGCAGACAAAAGGGCAAGAGTTGAAAAGGGCCGTGGAGGTAGCAAGCAGCAGAGGCCACCCTGCTCGGGGCTGGGTGCCAGGCCACAGGGCATGCCCGACGAACAGGGAGTCGGAACCCCCTCAGGCCACCCTCAGGAGTCCTGGGGCCCAGAGGGGTGTCCCTGTACCCCCTGTGCGCAGGACCCTCACTCTGCAGGGAGAAGCCAGCTGCGCCCGCGGCCTAGGGTGCCAAGGATGCTGCTGACTGTGGCCCGCAGCCTCATCTGAACGCCAGAAGACCAGAAGACTGAGGCATCGGATCCCCTCTCTGTGCCCTGGGGTGCCCCAGCACTGCCCAGTCACCCCAGGTCTGAGGTCTGTGTCCCTAGTGGTGCAAGGCCTGGTAGGACCACGGGGCCGGGAATGTGAGCGCCATCTGAGCTCACGGTGTCCCGAGTTGCGGCTTCGTGACTTTGGCGTGTGCCTTCAGACCAGCAACTCGTCGGACCCAGAGGGCTCCTGGGCTGCAGCGACGAAGGAGGTAAGGCCCAAGGATAAGGGAAGGGCTCCAGGGTGGCCCAGGGTTCCTCGCGCCCAGACAGCTGGGTCCCGCCCTCCAAAGACCCCTTTCCCGGCCAGAGCTCCACGGGTCTCCACAGGTCTGCAGCTCCATCCCATCCACCCACTCACGCAGTTCACGCAGCTGGCGGCTTCTGCTTGCCGGCATAAGCATCATTTGCCACCTGGTGGTCCCTGTGCTGCTGGGCTTTACCCAGCAGCTGGACCTGGGATGTAACGGCGTGGCCTCTCCTGGAGTAAATGGCCCTGCAGTGGGGTGGGGAAATCTCATTTTGAGCCCCCTCCCTAACGGTGGTGGCAGTGAGGCCTGGTGGGTGGTGGGCAGGAGCTCTGGTAACCTAGGCTACTTTCCCTGGTGCCTGCTGCCCTTGAACGGGAGGGAGTCCACAAGTCTACATCAGGGTCTGCTGTCTGGGTAGCAGGGTCTGCTACCTGCTGTCTGGCCAGGGACCCAGGGTGGGGTTGATCCAAAGCTACTGCCCAAGGTCCTGCTCCTGTTGGCCCTTGGGCATCGTCTGCGCTGGCTTCCAGTTCAGCCTCTTTGTTGGTTACAGGAGCCAGCTGAGGCCCAGAGAAGGGCAGCGAGTGCCCCAAGGGTCACACAGCAGGCGGTGAGCGCTCCCTCCCACTGAGGTGGAGCTGACTCCTCCAAGGATCCCCGGAGGCCGGAGGGAGAGGCTGCACCTCACCTCGGAAAACACAAATCCCAGGCAACCTTAAGCCACCGTGCCCTGGGCAGGACAGGGAAGCCCCAATTCATTACCAAGATGGAAAATGACACTTCCCACGCTCTTCCTCAGGAGAGGGGTTGATTTATGATTGCACCAGGGCCTGGGACATTCGTCAGAGCGGCACAGCGTGCACGCCGTCTGCGGGGGCATTAATAGCCGTGTTATTAGCCACCGGCGTGAAAGATGCCCTGCGGATGGGCTATTTGCTGTTATTTATTATAAAAGTGCGCCAGCCCAGCAGCGGGGCCGCGAACGCGCCTGAGCCTGAGCTGGGCCCCTGCCCTGCAGCCCTTCTGCTCCCAGCTGCTCCTCTCCCAGTGCCCAGCCCTGGTCCCTACTGCCCCTCCAGTCCCTAGGAGGGCTTGGGGGTCATTCCTAGGTTGTAGCGAAGCTGGAGGGGAGCAGCTGCTGCCCCCCAGGCCTGCTGCCATGGAAGATCTGCTCAGTGGCTCTGTGCAAAGGGAGGCAAGGAACAAACGCTCTGGGCAGACAGACCTGGGTTGGGGCCTGGCCCTCTGGTTGTGAGCGTGTGACCTTGGATAAGTCTGCCCCTCCCTGCGTGCCTCCCCTTTCTGCATTGGGGATGCAGCCTCTCCCCTCTACACAGGCTGTGGCCAGCTGGCGAGAGCATTCTGACGTGCCCAACGCTCAAGCACCCAGCCCTGCTAGCTACTGCTAACGCTAACAGGCGTGACCCCACAGGCATGAGTGGCCCCCCAGGCGTGAGTGGCCCCCCAGGCGTGAGTGAGCCCACAGGCGTGAGTGAGCCCACAGGCGTGAGGGGTTGCGGACCTGCTGGTGGAGAAGAGCAGCCCCTGTGAGACCCCGCTGGAGTTGGGACACTGTACCCCAGCACCCTCCCTGTGCCAAACCCCTGGGAAAGGGTTAGAGTTGGGCGCCAAGGCCCCAGGAGATGGGCGGGGAGGCTGCCCAAGCTGCTGGAGGGCTCTGTCTCCACCCCGTCTCATCCATGCGGAGCCTCAGATTTTCCTCATCTGCAAAAAGCAGACAATCACTGAGGTCCTTTATCTCATGATTCCAGGGTCCTGAGTGGCGAGTTCCATCCGTGTGTGTATCTGTGGGGTGGGCGGGAGGGGAAAAGGCCTGTGTAGTAAAGTGAGGCTCACCTCTGATAGTTGGAGACAGACACGCGGCTGGGCAGTGCCAGGCCAGCATCCATATCAGTGGGGGTGAGTAGGGACGGCCAAGAGTCTCCCTTTGGGGCCACAGAGGTCCCACTGGGCAGCTGAGACAGGTGGTAGGAGACCTGGGAAGGGGAGAGCTCCGGATATCAAGTCTGAGGCCTGGGTTTGTGGCCACCCCTCTGCCATCTGTGGCACAATCCAGACCCTTCCCTTTGCCTCTTTGGGCTGCTGTGGTAAGGGCACCCTGGGTCACCACGGCATCCTGGGGTGGGCTGCAGGAAGGCCAGCCTCCCTCTTCTCTACCACCACCCGGCCCTGGGTCTAGGTTCAGGGGCCTCCCTTTTGGTGGCCCTGTTCATTCATTCATCAGATGTTTACTGAGTACTTTCTGTGCCAGGCTCCATGCCAGGCACAAGGCAGACCATGTCCTAACTGTAGGAGTTTACATTCCAGGGGGAGGAGGCAATCTGTAAACTGATGACGGAGCAGGACCTGCCTCCCACCTTCTCAGGGTTGTTCTCAGCCCCTGAGAGGCCCTGCCCTCAGAGCCCAGTGCCAAGCCTCTGATCTAGGATCAGTGAGTGTCGCCCATCACCAGCCTTTCCTAGTCATACTGCTCCTCTCCAGGCCCTCTGCTGCGGCCCAGGATCCTAAAGGAGGCTGAGGAGGGAAGCGGCACAGAGCCCACAACCTCAGCCCTGTTCTTGGGGACTGTCCCCAGCCCTGCTGGTGCTGCTGCTCTTCCTTTTCCTCGCCCCCCAAAATAAAGACCTTTAGCCCCTCTCCTTCACTCTGAAACTCCACTGAGCTTTCTTTTATTTATTTATTTTTTTTGAGATAGCGTCTCACTCTGTCACCCAGGCTGGAGTGCAGTGGCACAACCTCAGCTCACTGCAACCTCCGCCTCCCAGGTTCAAGGGAATCTCCTGCCTCAGCCTCCCAAGTAGCTGGGACTACAGTCACGCACCACCACACCCAGCTAATTTTCGTATTTTTAGTAGAGACGGGGTTTCACCATGTTGACCAGGCTGGTTTTGAACTCCTGACCTCAGGTGATCCACCCGCCTCAGCCTCCCAAAGTGCTGGGATTACAAGGAACCACCTCGCCCAGCCCACTGGGCTTTCTTTTTCCCTTTCCTAAAGGAATTAAGTCTCAGTTTAGGCAGCTTTACTAAAAATGGACACAGACAGACAGAAACATCAGGTGTAGGCGCATCTTATTAAATAACGCCAAGAGAGAAAGGAACAAAATTACACGTGTCTCCTTTCATCCCCCCACCCCCTCCTGGCCTTGAATGGTTTAATATCGAACACTATTATCAATATAATTAACCTCCTAAGACACAATTCTAAAGTCTTGTTTTTTTAAAGCGATTTACATTCTCTGAAGTTCAGGACATCCCGCCGCCTGGCACCAGCACCGCCCAGACGGCCTATGCAGTTAGGTGCATTTATAGTGGATTTGCATACCTGTCTGCAATTACCGCTAGTGATAACAGCTGATGCATAATGCATGCGGCATGAAATTAGAAAAATAATTAACTTTAGGTCTTAAAAGAATCCCCGCCCCAGCCCCCATGCATCAGAAGCTCTAAATGATACCAGTGGACAGGATCCAGAGCAAAGTTGTTTAGGGTGATGGGTGTGGCTGGCTGGCACCCTGCCCTGGTGGGAGCTGGAGTTAGAAAGCCCTTGAGGGCCATGGCATCTAGCCCCTGCCCTAAGGAGATGCCTCTGGTGGGCCTGCAGTCCCTGGGGCATCTGCCTGAACTAGGGCTTGGAAAAGCCTCATTCACACAACTCAAGGCTCCCCTCTCTTCTTGCAGTTCATGTCTGGGGCTCGGGGAAGCACGGCTCATTGCTAGTAACAGTAATAGTCCCCTCATTCTGAATACGACTCTGCTAAGCATTGAAAGAAACCTTACTTTATCTCCACAAGAGCCCAGGGAAGTAGATAGTTTATGGCCACATTTTGCAGATAAAGACTTGAGACCCCTGTAATCCCAGCACTTTGGGAGGTCGAGGCGGGCAGATCACCTGAGGTCGGGAGTTTGAGATCAGCCTGACCAACATGGAGAAACCCCATCTCTACTAAAAATACAAAATTAGCTGGGCTTGGTGGCGCATGCCTGTAGTCCCAGCTACTCGGGAGGCTGAGGCAAGAGAATCGCCTGAACCCAGGAGATGGAGGTTGTGGTGAGCCAAGATCGTACCATTGCATTCCACTCTGGGCAACAAGAGCGAAACTGTCTCAAAAAAAGACTTGAGACCCAAGGCCACCCCACAGTAGGCTGAGCAGCTGGGTTGAGCCATGCAGGCCCCAGGTCTACTTGCCTTCGCAGGAAAGGGGCTTCCTGGGAAGAAGGAGGGGAGCTCTCCCTGGGTCTCCCTGAGCACCAGGAGGCAGCGGCCTGCCCTGTCTACCTCCTGGCCCTCTTCCCGCTGTCTTGTTTGCAGTTGAGCCCCCAGGAAGGTGGGGTCTCTCATTAATTTAAACAAAGGTTTGCTGAAGCCCCATCACAGAGCTGGAGATGATTGTGCCTTGGTGGGGCTTCCTGTCTAGTGGGAGGTGGGACTGGGGTCCCACTGGCCCTTCCTGCTCTGGAGCTGAGAAACTGCTTCTGCCCAGTCTGCCTGCACAGCATTCTCAGTGAGGACTTGAAGGCCTGGCAAGGTTTAGGGGAAACACAGGAATTATTGCCGAAGGGAGGGACTGGCAGGGGAAAGACCCTTGCAAGAGACCCTACCTGGGGGCTGGGAAGTAGGGAAAAGCCAGAGGACCCCAGGGTCTGCAGCAGCCACACACCAGTGCCAGGCTACACGGGCAGCCAGATTCCTAAGGACAGTGGCAGGCAGGTAGGCAGGAAGGAGGCTGAGGGGTGAGTGGGGGTGGGGGAGATGTGACCAGCATCCATGCACGTGAGCATGTGCTTGTCTTTCCTACATACAGAGTTTGCATGCAGGACACTTCCTCTCCTGACCTGGCCCTGCCTGAGATGCCCCCATCCCAGGGATGGGGCAGGTGAAAGAGGACACACGGGAGCGAGGCCAGACAGGGATGTGAGCTGTTTCCTTGCTGGCTTCTG